AACTTTATGCCGTTATTTGGGGTCGCTAGGACCATTCATTCTGATCACGCCTTTCCAGTTTTCAGTATCTGCCTCAACATTCGCATTAAAATAGCCCATTTAAATGAAGTACTCTGTAGTCGGCACTTCGTACACAGCTTCTTTTACTTCCTGAAGGAAGACAGATTCGCAACAAGGTCAAAGCTTTCTCACGTTGTAACTTTAGTCAGAGGATTGCCACTTTTCCGCTGACAGGCTTTAATTCATGATTCCGTCGTCCAGGTTGGATTTTACTTTAACATCAATATCGGCCTGATCGTGTGTTGTTGAGTTAATACTAATGGATAATAGAATCTACCCGCAAATGATCCAAATTTCAGAGCCGCGGCGCTGCCTTGACGATACCCCAACTATGTCCTATCGGTCCTTGCAGCCTCAGCAACTAGCTAGCTACCTTGCTGTTTTAATGGTCGAAAATTTGACGAACCAAAGATCTGAAAAAATGTTTCGGAAGTGCTTTATAAATATACGTTTCTTTCGAAAACTCATGCTGAGGCAATGCCTACTAGCGTTCGAAATCAACTGGTATAACATCACAGTTATAGGCATAAGCAGAAACCGAAGATTTACGTACTTATGCATTTCACACTCACTTTGTTTTTTTCAGTGGCTTGACAGAATTAACTAGGGTTGATTCTCCTTCGCCCTGTGGGCCATGATGTCCTTGCTGGCTGAAATTCTGCTCATAACCCAAGGCAGAAACTGCTGTAAAAACTGTTTTAAAGTCGTTTAAAGCTGTCGAAAAACTACCTACGAATCAAGCAACCAAAATGAAACCTTCCGGATGCTGGTGGTCTACGCTCATGCTAAAAAGATGATCGACTCTATGGATCATGTAGGCCATCAGCTGACTTGATGGCGCCATTTTATTGCGTTCCCTGCGATAACCGAATCCAATTGACTCCTACTGTTTTCCTACGTAAATTTGAGATACGTGAAAACACCAGCTTTGCTGTAAATAACTTACTGAGAATGGTTTTTAATAACTAAGACGAAATTCAAAAGGCAAACAAGAAAAATAGCACTATATTGGTTTGTCTTCGATTTCAATTCATAGTCCAAAACTAGAATTCAAATTCAAACCAATGATATAAATCCTTTAGCTATATCGAACACGTTTTGAAGCTGAAAAACCGTGGACTTACGCGATGCATTTCTAGGATGCATGTGTTATTCAAAGAAACTTGGAAATGACGTAAGAAATATTTTAAATAATTCTAAAATTGCCTCAGACCTGCATGAAATTCGGCGGTGTTAGTTCACCCAAAAATATCTTAAAGTTTCGAACTTTATGCTTTCTAGCAAAATCGGCTTTTAAACTGCGACCGGACAGCCAAGTCGTCAACAACAATTAATTCAAATACGAACTTGTAAACTTCAGAAGTATAAGAATTCATTTTAAAGACAAATTTTGGCATTCATAATCTGACAAAATAAAACTCAGTTTAAAATAATGTAAAACAATACTAAAATTCCATAAAATATTCAAAGAACGTGACTGCTTAGACTGAAACCGATTTAGCGATTAAAAATGATTTTTCTCAACCAACTTTGAAATACAGTAAAATTCATGAAGATTATCAAGTGGCAGCGTGATGCTCACCACATGTCCAGCAAAAGCAGATGCTGATACTTAATTTATTGCCTTATATTAGAGATTGAACACGATTCACTGACACAGAAAAGAATTTCAATCTTCTATACACCGTGTCGAATAGCATATACAACTGCCGAGAAACACAGTTACATTCCTACCAATGTTCTCGGTGGTTGGATTATGTTTCAGGGTGAATAACCGTAGCGTATTTTTCAACTGCGCAAACCGGCTAGTTCAACAAGCAATGGTAATATTGAACTGCGATGCCCCATTTTGTGTCTAGAACGAAT